GTGATATTTTTTCACAATTTTGTAAATAAATAAATAAATATTTTCTATACTTAGTTAAATCAGGAATTATATAAATTTATTAATAAATAATAACGATAATATCTCATTATTCTGTCATAGTTTCATTTAAAAATTTCCAAAAATAGTTTAAACCCATTCAATACCGGTTTAACTTTAAATTCACAAGTTTATATATATTTATTACCATATAAACACTTATGCAAAATACTTAAATTGGTTTGATCTATTCAAAATCATTGGCGAAATGATTTCATTTTCCACGCAAGGCTCTTGTCTAATTTATGTACATATATGCAAGATCGTCCAATTATTTCACATAAAGAGAACATTTGCATACAGGCATCATTTTATAATATTAGAATACTGTAGTATATTGCTGTATCATGTGTTATAAATAAAGATGCAGATATTAGAACATGAAATAACATACTGCCGTAAGTAGGTAGCTATCCAATTATATATCACTACACTTTAGTTATAAAAAGTTTGTTTGATATAGATTATAGTTTTTTTTTTTTTTTACTCAAACCATATTATATACAACATAGCGAAGAGTAGGAATGAATTTGATATTACCCAAGTTGAATTTGAACTAGCAGTCTAACCAGTTCAGAGGCATAGTGTGAAGGCCATAAGTTTGATTACAAAAGAACAACCCTTTTTTTATTATTATTATTATTATTATTTTTTTTTTTTTAAAAAAAAAAAAATAAATAAATAGATAAAAAAACCTGTGTTAAAGACTGATAAAAATAAATCAGTAAAGTCTGCGTCATTATAAAGAATCTTTTACAAATATATTTAAAGTTATCATTATTGTGATATAGCAATCAAAAATTAACAAACATTTTACAGAATTATTTGCTTATTTCAATTTTTTTAATTTACTAATCTTCAAAAAACCTTATATATTGTTACGACTGGTTGGGAGAGCTAGTAGCATGATTATACAGTTTAGCTCCAGTCGCAACTGTGAAGTAAACATGATAGTGTCACTTATTGAAATGATAGTGAAAAATTAATGAAAGGCATATCATTATTACTAAGCTACTTATGATTTGATTGGGAAGCTCTAGGATGCTTCTCCCTTTTATTAACTGGAACAGCAAGAGTTTTTATACCTCTTAGAATTTTATATAATACAACCTTGGGAGGCTTTGGAGCTGCTATAGCAGCCTCACACAGCCTAACACACAAACAAACCACAACATCCTCCCCTTCTTAACTGCAAGCTCCTGCGAGTCCACATATTATCATTCACAAAATAAGCAAATATTTTATACAAAAACCAAAAACCAAAAAACAAAACTTGGGCTGGCA